CGCACCCCGATGTTCTTTGTCGTACGACCTTCGGAGTTTTTGTTCGCTACTGTACCTATCGGATTACATGTAGAGGATTTCTCGAATGTTTATATGGAATCATATGAATAAGTATGTTTATATGGAATCATATGAATAAGTAAATTAGGCGTGTATAAAAGTTGTTGACCATGAATCTGAAGCACTTGCTTTCTCGCAATGCTTGTGGTGACAGTTCTTTGCTTGATCTTCTCCGCTGCCCAGGTAAATTTTCAATTTGAAAGTTAGCGTGCTCAAACAAACTTCCTTGTTACGACTGGGATGAGGATGAACATTAGAGCATGGGGCTAATGACGGTAACAGTAAGGGAACATAAGAATGTAAAACTGTAGGCAAAAATCCGACCTTGGACGGGATCTGCACCGCGTTCGTGCGCTCGAAGCACCGTCCTACAAGGTCAAGGCCGAGCGTTTTGTTTAAGCCTCGATATCTTGAGGATTGAAGTTGTCTAAGGGGTTATACCATCGTCAGATCAGTGCATTTCAGAGCAAGGAACTTTTTTACTTGGGAAGTTCTCTTATGTTCACCTTGACACCACATTTGCAAACTTCATTCTGCTTTCAGGCCCAAACTTCTCCTCCAGTAGCGGCCTTCATCGGCATTACCCAGCCTCCCTGCGGTCCAAATCCCTGGTGGAACCCCTGGTGGAATCCTCTTCCTCCTTGCAATGCGCCTACAAACAGGGACATGCAGGTGAGTCGCGCTAAATTATTTTAAACTGTTGCGGCATTTAATAACAGAGTAACCTCAACCATAGCCAAATAAATTCATTGAAATTGAATTAAGGACCAAGGAACAGTTGTGGTTTTCACAATTCGGCAACGCGGGGGGGGGGGGGGCATTTTGCACTTCTGCTACTTCCCACCGACGTGTCGTGCATCAAGTGGAAACCTGTGAAGCCACGAAGTGATACCAGTCAAAGTTTGTACAGGCCACCTGCAAAGCCTCGTAAAGAGTACATGTCAACCGGCTCAACCAGCTTGCTCCAGCTTCACAAGAGTTCACCGGAGTACTTGTAAACCGGAGCTAGGGAAGCAGCGAAAGTGCAAAGTTCCACACCACCCCCCCCACGTCGCCGAGTTGCGCCTTTGGACGCTATCTTGCTCAGAAATTTCTCAGCTGTGAAATAGATGTTGTTTTCAGAGCGCAATCCAAAGCACAGCCTCACTTACTTGGACTCTAGCTTCAAGTGGGCGCGATGCTTCCAGCGTTTATCTCTTACGGTAGGTGAAGTGCATGTAAATTATAAAGGAACTAAAAGTGGACAATTTTTTATATCTTACAACCTAATAGGTTTACTGGATCGACTGAGGTTTTCTTCCGCCTTGCTTGAAGTGCACCAAAGATACGACAGAGTTCATAACGTATAATGACGTGTAGGAGTGACTTCCTTCTCCGACTGCACTCCGGAACGTTAACAACCGAGATCGAGTCCCTGACGGAGATGGATTAGCTCCCAGCACGTCCGACCTCTCATATGAATTGAGGCCCTTTGTTAGGAAAGATAGGGCGGATCGTAATGAGAATCACAAATTTCGCGCCAAAACGTAAGATGGGGCGTTGAGGAGCAAGGTTGCACAAGTGATTATGCCCCCCTCGTCACTTGTCGCTTTAGTCGTTACCTTACCCCCTCGCTACTCTTGTCTGGTCTTTCCCCAAATCTCGCTCGACCCCTTGCCTCTCGCATAGAACAAGGGGAGCCTTCGTTATTTTCAATAGCTTCCCCTTCTATGTTTGTCAGAGGAAGTCAACTGGCACAAACAAATCTGTTTCAACCCCGTCATCTTTGAACTTTTCAGCCGGGTGTTGCCAAACCTGCTCAGTAGACCGCTTGCCACCTGTGCTCCCATGCTTTTACTATGGATCATGACAATTTTGACGACCGTAGCAGCCGACCAGTAGCGGTGATGAACCCAATCTTTTTAATCTTGATGAAAAAATGCTACGACGCATCTTGCATCATCTCGAATTTTTTCTTGGACTTGCCCTTTTTCTTGGACCTTTGCACACTTCACGACATTGCCGTTTCTGAACCTAGTTCCTCAGAAAATGTGCTTATGGAGCTTTCGGCTTTAAAAGATACAAGGCACCCTGATCTCCAAGGATTCTGCTCGCTACCATGTGCGATACTAAGGTGGAACTTGCCATATGCGAGATGGAGCTGTAAAAGCGTGCTTTTTCCACTCAAAAGTGCTCGAAAATAAGGCCGTTGGGCAGTGGTAGATGGGCGCCACTTGGAGCTCTACCTGTAGGCAAAGTATGCAGCACGTAACACGCCGCACAATCAGCTATATGCCTAGCCTAGTCAGTCGCACTTCTTGTCCGCCTCTCTTTCGTCTGATTGGGAGCTGTTGTTCCTACACAGCCATAGACAGCTTGCCATTCATTTTACTGGCTACGGGATCACGGCATCGACGCACATGATGCACGCTGTGGACGTCGGGTGGAGACTCAAACAGCATTTAGCTACTGCCACCCTCGGTTCTCGCGCGCTTTTGAAAGGAGAAAGTGACGCGCTACTGCGGATTCTATCGGGGCTGTTTGTCGACGGGAGGGGGCATTTTGTACTATCATTGCTTCCTCAGTTCCGGTTTACATGTCTCACTCTGGCGAAACCTGTGAACTCTTGTGAAGCTGGAACAAGGTAGTCAAGCCATCATGTTAAAACCTGTCAACTCGAGAAGAGGCTGTCTAGATAGGTCGACACGTCGATGGGAAGTAGCAAAAGTGCAAAATGCCCCCGTCGACAAACTGCGCCTCACCTTGCAATGACCACGATCCACGAAGATGTACAGTTTCTCCTAAGGCACTTTCAAAATGGATGAAGCATATAGACATCTGGCCGCGGCGGAATACCATTTACCTCTGGCTAACCTAGATATACAAACCGATTCGTCTGTCTGTGCCTGCCTCTCTGTCCGGAAATTCATCATTACCGAAGAGGTTGTTAAGAGGTCGGGTTTGGAGTGAGATGAGGAGGGTATCGGGCAAGATGTACGGAACACAAGTGAACGAAGCTAATCCCGCCCGTCGTGGGCGGCGTATGCGTAACCGAAAGCCTATCTCAGATATTCGTAATTCGGTTCAAGAAGTGCCAGAATGCAGAAAAGCTGGGAAACGATAAGAAATGAGTAGGCGGACGGAATGAGGGGACAAGTCCTTTTTGAGGGGGCGGGGCGTACTCAGATGGGCGGCGTTTGCTAACATGATAACATGATGAACAACAATGACTCGACATAAACTGCGGCGAAAACTTATACCTAAACCTTAAATTTGTAATCAGTGATTTGTTTTTCAGTTCAATCTCTAATGCTCTATACTCACTCTGGAATTTACAATACGACCAAACAACACTGGCTATGCTCTCAGGATAGCAATCAAGAGGTAAGTAAAACGTGTCTCTAAGCCGTATCAAGAATTATTAGGTTGTCCGGAAAGTTCTCAGCGTTTTGTGCACCTATTTTTTGTACATTCACTGCTGATTAAAAACTCATTCTGCCTTGCTTCTCAGTAGCACATCCTGTAGAGAATTTCTTGCGCTATCTGATGGTATAATTGCCGTTTCACCATTGCTTATAAACCCCTTTTTTCAAGATTTTTTCAAGCATGTGAAAAGAGCACTTCGGACGATTTTTTTCTTCGACTATAAATTGGGGCAATCCGCAATCGAAACAGCTCAGCAAATTAACCAGGTGTGGGGGCCCAATAGTGCTTGAGAAAGCACTGTGCTGCAATGGCTCAACAAAGTTCGTTCAGGAGATTTCAGCATTGAATGAACCTCATGGCAGTCGACCTAAAGCAATATCTGACGAGGATTTTGAGGAGATTTTGAAGGCTGACCCATCCCAAACAGTTCGAGAGATTGCAGAAAAGCTAGGCGTTGGCAAATCCAGTGTTGTAGATTGTTTGAAACGCATTGGGAAGGTGAAAAAACCCGACACATTAGGTGCCCCCACGAATCGAGTGACGGCAGGAATTCGCCCGTCTGAGTTCCCGCTTCTTCGCTGCTTTTGCGCAAAAGAATTGACCCGTTTTTGAACCGATTTGTCACCTGTGATGGATCATGTATGATAACAGGAGATGTTCCGGACAGTGGTTGGATTTGGAGGAACCACCGAGGTAATTTTCAAAGCCGAACCCTCACGAAAAAAATTCTGGTCAGGTTTGGTGGTCATCGGCTGTTGTAATCCACTATAACTTTTCATCACCAGGCCAAACCATCACAGCAGAACCCTACTGTGAACAAACCGACCAAATGTACCGAAAATATTGTCAGCTGCAGCCAACACTTATCAAAAGAAAGGGTCCGATTCTTTTGCATGACAACGCCCGCCCACACGTTTCACAAATCACTATCCATAAATTGAACGAATTGAGGGTTGAAGTTCTACCTCACCCACCATATTCTCCAGACCTTTCACCAACCGACTGTCACCTTTTCAGACATTTTCAGAACTTCCTTGCTGAAAAATACTTCTCAATTAAGACCAGGCAAAAAAGACCTTCGTAGATTTCGTGGATTCTCGACCACCCAGTTTTTCCTTTTATGGGATTTCTCGACTGCTGTCACATTGGCAAAAGTGTGCTGATTCGAATGGTGCCTATTTCGATTAAATCCGATGAGTATTAAGATTGACGATTCGCTTAAAGTGAACCAGCCCACCACGCTAAGAACTTTCCGGACATACCTATATATTTCACCAGTCGTCTCGCCGGCTGACGCCGGCGCGGCTCCTTCTGATACGGCCCGGCTGCGCCGGGCGGGCGCGGCTTCGCCGCGCGTGTTTTCTTTCACATATTTCTAGATTCAACTGATATCCCCCTTTTGTTCTGTACTCCACTTTTTTCCGGTGCCTGAAGTACTCTTGAGCTATTTTACAGATTCTCGTCTGACTCCGCCCACCTCGGAGAAGGCCCCCCACAATGTTGTGCCCCCACAAACGCTCACCGCGACGCCTCTGTGACCTGAAATCACTTTATCACCGGTCTTCGAGGTGCTCTGGAATCCGTTTACAGACCTTTTTGTCTGCTCGCGCCCCCATCGAGCAGCTCCGCCCCACAATGTTTTTGCCCCCACAATCTTCACCGGCAACCTCCACGCCTTAATCCACGTTTTTTTCCGGTCTTTGAAGTGCTCTGGGACAGTTTTAGAGAATTTTCGTCTGGCTCCGCCCACCTCGGGCTGGCCCGCCCACAATATGTCTACCTCACATTTCTCGATCGCGACCGGCTTCTGACGCTGAATTCCACTTTATTCGCGGGTCTCTGAAGTGTTCCTGGAACCGTTCTAGAGAATTTTTGTCCGCTCGCCCCACCTCATAGGCAGACTCCGCCCCAGTTTTTCCCCACATTTTCACTCGACGTGACCCTCTGCTGACCTTAATCCACTTTTTTCCGGTGTCTGGAGTATTCTGGAACCGTTTTACAGACCTTTTTTGTCTGGCTCCGCCCACCTCGGAGCAGGCTCCGCCCACAATTTTTTTGCCCCACAATCTTAACCGACGACCCTCTGCTGAACTTAATCCACTTTTTTCCGGTATCTGGAGTGTTCTGGAACCGAGCTACAAACTTTTAAAATGAATACCCTGCGATTTAGGGCAAGCTCCGCCCACTGTGGGCGGGTCTCAACACACTTTGAGCGTGCCCTATATTCGCCGGATATTTACATTCTACACTGAGTTTTTTGCGACTTCC